AATTTGCTTCAACTGCCATAATATAAACCACTATTTCCACAGCTGAAGTGGATTTAAAGAAATAGACTCTCCATAATAAAAATAAACCATTAACTAAGTTAGATAACATAGTAAACTGTTTAAGTCTGCCTGAGAACAAAATCTGTAGCAACCTAACTCTGAAGGGAGCTCTGAAGGCTACAAATAGGATGCTGAGGGCTATACAACCCTGGTTTACTTAATAATGCAATCCTCTTGATACATCTGAACTGGAAACTAACCACAGAGGTTGAAATCAAACACAACATACTAGACTAAAATGCAGTTAACTATTTTACAGTTCCCTCTGTTATTCAAACGCAGCCACTCAGTAGAATATCAGAGAGATTTGCTTCTTAAAGGGAGGGCCTAAAAGTAACTGGTAGAGCAGGTGCTTTGCATGCAGAAGATCCCAAATTCAAATTCCAGTTAAATTAGCACAAATATGAAAGTGCATCAGAACATAATTGTTTATAATACTGTACAAGAAAAACAGTTGACCTGTTATGTGGTGTCTACTGATGTTACTGAAATGTACAGGAAGTCCTCGATTACGACCACTCATTTAGCGACCGTTCGAAATTACAACAGCACTGAAAAAGCGACTTAAGACTGGCCCTCACACTTACAACCATTGCAGCATCCCCATGGTCACATGATTGTGATTCGAGTGCTTGGCAACTGTCACACATTTAGAACAATTGCAGCGTCCTGCAGGCACACGATCGCCATTTGTGACCTTCTCAGCTGGCTTCCAACAAGCAAAGTCAATGAGGAAGCCGGCAGGGAAGGTTGCAAATTGTGGTCACATGAAGTTTAGCCTAACGACCGCAGCAAAAAAGGTCATAAAATCAGGTGTGGTCATGTGATGCCTCACTAAATGACCACACTGCTTAACAACGTTTTCTGGACCCTGTTGTGGTTGTAAGTCAAGGACTACCTGTATGGATTAGACTTTGAGAAGAGCCAGTTTGGTGTAGTGGTTAAGGTACCAGGCCAGAAACTTCGAGATGTGAGACTAGGCTGAAGCTGCCATAACTAAAGATGAAGCAGGCATGTAAGCAGAGAGGACAAAAGCCAGGAAACTTGTCTATGAGATCCCTTCGGGAAGGTAGATAAGAAGGAAGCAAGTCATTAAGGAAACAAAGGACCTGAACCAGACAAAAGAAG